TTTTCTGTGGCTGACCCCCCCCCCCTTTTTTTCCCCAAAACGATGCTACGTCCCTGTATACCCAAGGTAGATAACTCTAAAAGTATAAAATTCATTGTATAGAGAGAGTCCTTAAGGCTAATTGCACCATATATTAGAAAGGATTCTGCAGTTTAATCAATCAGGTGGGGGGAAGGGAAAAATAAGATTCTCTACTAAAGGCAAGGATGCTCAATATTTTCCCTAGTTCCCCCCCCCCCCCCACCAGGATTTATAAGACTTCAGACTCCTATAGGACTGTGAGCCTAGTATAGGAACAGTTTTCGACTTCATTATAGTTCTACTTAAACATGCGATCTCTTTTGATTAACGTTGTGTGTGTTTAACTTATTTTTGTTCATTCCTCATGGTTTGTCAATGGAAATTTTAAAATAATTTTTCATTTCTTCTCAATTTCAAAAAAGATCGGTTTCTAAGTTCAAGTTCTGACCATTTTCCCGTTAAGCTACGAAATCTGGCTGAAATTTATGATGTTACCAATCTTTCCAAATTAGAAATAAAGTCAAGGACTTTGCTGTTGTTTAATTATATTAATTCATATATATATATATATTTTTTTGGTTTTGTTTTTAAACATTAATGTTAGTAAAGGAAATGTGGACACATAAATAAACCTGTTACATGTAATATAAGAGAGGATTCTTCGTCACAATCTATAAAAAGGTGTATGAGTTAAAATATATGAAAAATTTAGGGGATACATTGTTATAACGATCAACCCTACCCTAAACATTGATGTTTTGCAGTTTCCACGCCTAGGCGGTAGTAGTTGGGGGTGGGGGTGTTGTTCATACAGTAAGAGCCCATACTTTACACAAAACCTATCAATCAAAATACAATTAAATTTTCAACAAATACGATTTTTGCTTAAAAAATTGTATCAATTAAAAACAAAAATAATCGAGAAAAAAGAATTTCAAAATAAAAATGTAATAAATACATAAATAACAGATCAATAACTAAATTTATTTTGTACTCATGTACCTTTGGAAGTGAGAGCGTTTATTTTTTATGTCAATATGAAGACAATTCAGACAATATAAAAAGGCCTGCATTACATTACCGAAAAGTTTAAAAACGGCTGTCTTCATCACAGAAAATTTCTCTCATTATCAAAAGAAATGGAAATACCGTTACCGATTTTTTTTATAGTAAGCAACTCATGTCATTTTCATTTCTCTTGAAGTTCATTGTATTATATTTTGCAGTTATCAAGACTTTCACTACATTTAAATAGTTTGAACCAAAAACTGCAGTTTTCTATTCACTATTTTTTAACGGCATTCCACCAAGGAAATTAAAACCAAATATGAAGAACATGAAACAAAAATATTTAGAAAACATAAGAAAACTTCAACCAAACAGTTAAAGTTTTCCAGGTGTAAATTTACCTTATCCTTATTCAACTGATGCACTTCGGTGCTGAATATAAAAGGTACATGTATTCCTAAACAAAGGTGCCTTTCATATATGAAAGCCTTGTTCGAAAATTTAAAAAATGAAAACCAAACAAGCTAATTCAGGGAATTTGTCTCCCCCTTCAGGAAAAAAAGAAGAGGGTAGAAAACTTAAAAATGCAGATTAAGAAAAAAATAAATAAAAAAAGATCAGCCTTGATCTTTCAGCTTTTAGTTGCACAATGTAGTTCCATTGGTAATTCCAAGCCAAATCAACAACAGAACACGTGCATCAAAAGTCGTCATAAAGGGTTCAGGGCTAGGCGTCAAATCATGGCATTAAGGGGGAAAGGATGGAAAGGTCTAAGGAGAATAAAGTTAAAGTCATCTTTATAAAAGTTGAAAAACTTAATGACCTTAAGTTTCATTGCAAAAGCTTATGGAGAACTAAAATTATATTCTGAAACTATGTATGCAATATATGAATTTCTGACCTTGGCCCTTGACCTCAAAATAAATATGGGCTTTCTTAAGATTGTACAGACTAAGAGTAAAAAAATCGTTGCAAAAACTCAAAGAGAACAAAAGTTATCATCAGGAAACCATTTTATGCAAGGTAAGAATTTTTGACATCGACCTTTTGACCTCAAAATCAAAAGGGTCTTCGAGTAATGACATAAAATTTCAATGAAAAAGCCCAAAGGCTTTTGGAGATATCATCTGGATAATGAAAATGTTACGCACAAATAGACATACCTGAATAAATGCCCCCCCCCCCACTTTCAGTTTGTTCAGTTAGTTTCCTGTGGATTAATTTGACCTTTTCACGAGGTAAATGTAATGGACAACAGGGCAAATATGAAAATCATTCCAGGTAAGGTGGCTCTAACAAAACATACCTCGAATCTTTTCAGGTACCCACAAAACATACTTAATAGATATTACACAATTATTGCTGTTTTTTTCAGTCAATACGATGATTTAGCCACCTGAGGAGTACAATATTCACGAGCCCGAAGGGCGAGGTGGATATTGTACTTCGAAGGTGGCTAAATCATCGTACTGGCTGAAAAAAACAGCAATAATTATTTTATTATATGATTCAATAATTATAAAAGATACAAACTCATTATTCATTAAGCAGTTCATGTCATCTTACTTATTTACATTTGCTGAAGTCCTAGCTAAATGCAGTGAGAAAAGCTGGGTTAAATAAACATTAAAAGTAAAAATTTACGTTCAGAAAAAATGTTGCGGGGATGGGGAGGGTGGTCCCCTGCATCCAAACCTCCTTCCCCAGCCCAAATTATATATTCCGTAATGTTATCAACTGCTCATGAATGCCACTGAATTTATCGCATTATATAGTCTCTTGTTATCTGTACAGGTGAATTAACAATACATTTATATCAAAGTCAGGAATTTTAAAAAAATCCTTTGCCTATACTTTTTGTTTTGGTTCATGAAAATTGTGTTCTATATGGATTCATGTAAATTGTGTTCTATATGGATTCAACCCTCCAGTCATTTACTTCTGAGCAGAGAAAAATAGGTGCTGGGTGTACCATTCTTCAAAATACTTTTAATTATGACTTATTCAAAGTACAGCCCTTTAATATGTCTTCACACAGTTTTGTCAGGAACCAGATAATGAAATGCTCTTCAGGGATTTATGTAATTCTTGATTTTATCTTCAATGTCATCAGCATTGCTGTCATAAAAAAGCAGTTTTTTTTTTCAATAGCTAGAATAATTACTGTAGATATGAAATACACAGAGAAATGAAATTTAGAAATTAACAAAAAAGGTATACTCATTGTCCATTTCTCTTTCAAAATGAAGGAATAGAGAGATTAAAATAGAAAACTCATCAATCTGTGGCAATAAATAACATCATAAGTCAATATCATTTCTACAATTTTATTTCTAATAAAGATATGATGAAAAGGAAAAGTTTGATACTGAGGCCACTAGAACAGATCGAACAGCTGTTCCTAACTCTCTTTCTAAAAAAAACAAGAGGCCCAAGGGCCTGAACGTTCACCTGAGTATAATACAACAATTTAGAAGTTAAATACACTGATAGATGAAGCTTTGTTGCCCTAAAGCAAGAGAAGTAGGAAGATCAGGATCAACAAAATAATTAGTCTAGTATTCAGTATCAACTCATAAATTAAGTTCTAATCTGTCCCCCACTTAATACTATCACCATGCAGACTATTAACAAACTATTAGTGCTTCTGTACTATTTTTAAACCCATATTAAAACCTCTAGCATTGACCTCTCTTATGGTCTTTGAAGAACTTTTAATAAGATAAGTTATTTTTGTCTCATTTTTATTTATCTATTACTTACAGGTCTACCTGATTATTAAAACTAAGAAAGTACTTTTTGAATTATACAATAAACATTCTTGCATAATTATCTTATTCTATTAACCTTTCAAATACATTATTTACAGTGATTAATTATCAAAGGTGAAAAGAAAAGGGGAATAACTTCTCTCAGTAGAATACAAATTAATAGAGCCCTGCCCAGGACCAGAATGCTTAGACAAATGGTCCAGATGTTCAAAAATCTGGTAGAAATATGCTTACTTATATCATTTAAACTTTTACTCAGTTTGCTTCCGATATGCCCAGAAGCAGAATAGAATTTCACAGGTACAATGCATTTTCACTACAGATTCAGCAAAGCCTTACCCAACACGAGAACCCAAGACCAAGGGTCAAGAAATTTACAAATTTGGAAGAGTTACCCTCATCATCATAACTATGGATTTTAAAGAATTAAAACTTTTCTACTATATTATCAAAAGCCCCCCCCCCCCCCCCCATTATGCCAGAACCCCTGACCCTAGGACCACAAGATTTAAAAATTCTGTTCGAAGCTCCCATTTTCATCATAGCTAAGCAATTTATTTATCAGCTCAACACTAAGGAGCAGACAGGATTAATCAATGATTAATTAATAGAATTAATGATTTTTCAGTATATAATCAATAGAACCCCCCCCCCCCCCCTCCTCAAGAACCCCAAAATTTAAAAATTTTAAGAGGCATCCTTGCCGATCATAATCATGCACTTACATGTAGTTTGTTTAAATAATCTCCAGTAGCAGAGAAGAAGATTTTCAAAGAATCAATGCATTTTCACTATATAATCAATAGAGCCCCAACCTAACACCAGAACCCCTGACCCTGGGGCCATGAAATTCACAATTTTGGTAGAAGCACTCTTGCTCATCATAACTATGTACTTAGTTACTTTATTTAATACCCAGGAGCAGAGAAGAAGATTTTCAAAGAATTAATGCATTTTCACTATATAATTAATAGAGCCTCGCCTTTACACCAGAACCCCTGACCCTGGGGCCATGAATTTCACAATTTTGGAAGAGGCACTCTTGCTCATCATAACTATGTACTTAGTTACTTTATTCAATACCCAGGAGCAGAGAAGAAGATTTTCAAAGAAATAATGCACTTTCACTATATGATCTATACAGCCCCACCCTGGGGCCAGAACCCCTGACCCTGGGGCCATGAATTTCACAATTTTGGTAGAGGGCTCAATGCTTATTACAATGATGCCAACAGTTTGACTGCTTGATGTACAGGAGTAAAGAAGAAGATTTTTAAAGATTGCATTATTTTTGGTGGTTTTAGCCCCACCCCTCAGGCCCCAGGGGGGCAGGGACCATGAAATTCACAATTTTTTTCCCCTTCACCCATAGATGCTATATGCCAAATTTGGTTGAAATTGGTTGAGCGGTTTCAGAGAAGAAGCTGAAAATGTTCAAATGTTAACGCACATCGCACGCCGACGGACAAAAACGGATAGCAATAGGTCACCTGAGTGACTCAGGTGACCTAAAAAAAAATTTTCTGTTAAAAATTTATAACATTATACTTTATATTATATACAGACTGTGTGTGTCCATTAAAAAAAACTAAGACTGATCTTCTAAAAGCCAGCAACAAACTTAATATTATCACATTAACAATTTCTTAATTCAAAATAGCAAGCATCATTTTGTTTTCTGTCAGAATGGGTGAAAACTGCATTTCGAAATTCAATGATTATTATATTGACCTTAAAAAGTAATTAAAATCTTTTAATTTCCCTTGAAACATTGTAGTTTTTGGATAGCCTTGGAAATTCACACCACTGAAGAGAAAAGGAAAACCAAATCTAAAGTAAAGGAGGCAACCACAACCTTTTCTTTTCATATTATATATTGTAAACATACATTAATCAGCACACTCAAAATTTGTGCGATCTTCATCATTTCATTAGCAGGGACATTCATCATGATAACATACAGTATAATACTTCAAATGCTCTTCTAGACTTTCATATTTCATTTATCAGTGTGGTAAGAAAAATGACAAAACAATGCATTCATACAATAAGACAAATTCCAAGTTGTTATTTGGTGAATTCAATCTTTTAGCTTATTTTGAAAATTATAACCATCACCCCATTCTGATTTGTGAGTTGTTATATGACTGTATTCACCTCATATCATTTAATTCTGTATAACATTTATACAAGGTTCAAGTACTGAATTAGAGTGGACAGAATCATCCATTTATATGAGTATAATAAAAAGTACTGTCACAAAATTGCTGCATTATCTTTTTATTGATGATCACAATGTATTGAGAACAGTAATGGTGAGATTTACAACACTATTATGTACATATTGACTACAATAATACAAAGGCTGCTCCACACCAATATGTACATTGTTCAAAAATGTTCATTAAATAATATCAAACAAACTTGCTTTGTTAATCATTGATATTAGAATGAGGATAAATGCTGATAAATAACCAACACAATGAGAATATTCCCTACGGTTCTCACTGCAATCATTCCTCCCTTTTTATGAGTTACCAGCATCCCCCACAGTCAGAGCCAGATAACTTTATGGTTTAAGTGACACCGATGTTTTGTTGTTCCCTCACTGGAGAAAAGTGAGTAAAGGTCATGATGTTTCGTAATTTTCCGTTTTCAGGTCATTAAGTCCCAGGTCCTCGTTCTGTTCGTAACTTCTCTCGTAATGTTCCACTGTCATCTCAGGATCTGGTTCAGGGGCGTAGACATTCTGTCAATATAAAACAACATCCTACATAAAACAAGGTCAAATCATAAGAGACCTCATAATTAAATTTTCATCAAGGAGCACCATTACTACAGCCTAGAATTCATTATTTAGTGGTGGTGTTGACAAGTATTTTTGATGAGAAATGTTCCTCAAAGAAAAAAAAAATAATGAAATGAAATAAAATGCAATAATTGATTTTCACTGATTCATCTCAATCATATACTCTGCTTGTTTTAAAATAATGACTCAACTAACAATAAAACTAATCTAATTACATTTTATTCTCTAAAATATTTATTTATGTGCAATTTTGTGGGAATGTTTTGATGTAAAACTAAAGTTCTCATAAATAATAATGGTAGTACATAACACTTTATACTAATACTGTGAACTACATATACATCAGGGGATAGTTATGGTTCTTTGGTAACTGAACCCTCAATGAGTAAAATCAAATGGTAAACATATTTGAAGCAAACTTTATCTGTTATTATTCTATTTAGATTTTATACAATTTGGATTTTTCATTTTGCTAAGCAAGTCTTCTGTAAATTTCGGAATTCTAGATACAAACTTTTTCTTCATTTATTGGAGTTGGGGGACAGAAGGGGAATATCTTTGGTTTTATATGGATATTGTATTAATTTGGCTTCAAATAAAAATGTGCCTTAAAACTGAGTTTTTTGTCATAATCATAACATAATCATAATTCATTCTGATTGTACACACAAGTACTCTGAAGATGATATTAAAAAGATGCTTGAGTTTCTGATTGACAATATCCATGTAGTTTTTGGAGATCAGGTCTTTCAACAATGTATTGGAATTTCCATGGGTACCAATTGTGCCCCCTTATTAGCAGACCTATTTTTGTATTCATATGAAGCAGAATTTGTTCAAAAACTTCTTCGCAAGAAGAAGAAGAAAAACACTTGCTATGGCCTTCAACTCGAAATTTAGATATATCGACGACATATTATCAATTAACAAAATTTACTTCTATTCATATGCCGACTCTATATAAAGCCCAGTCAGCTTGAAATAAAAGATACCACAGAGTCTGACATATCTGTTTCATATTTGGATATTTTACTAGAAAAAGACTTTAATGGTAACCTAACAACAAAGCTTTATGATAAACGTTATGACTTCAATTTTTCAATAGTCAACTTCCCTTACTTATGTAGCAATATATCCTGACCACCTGCATATAGGGTTTTTGTCTCCCAGTTGATTTAATACGCTAGAGCATGCTCTACGTATGAAAAATTTCTAAAACAAGGCAAGTTATTGACAAACAAGTTGATGAAACAGGGATATCAACAGTCTCATTTGAAGTCATCATTTCGCAAGTTTTATAGTCAATACAATGACCTTGTCAGTAAATACAACCTATCATTAAGTCAAATGCTGACTGATGTATTTCATACTAATTGTTAGGCCGTTATTTACACACTGAATTGTTGACGTATTTTTTCCATTTTCCAAAGGGCTGCGCAATAATATCGATATTCCGGTATATGGCAATTCGTTAATAAAAAATAGTATTGCGAAACATTTTCCCAGTACCAATATACCAGCAATATGCTTGGGCTTTAGATTTATAAAGTAAAATATGAAATTTAAGATATCAGAAACATATTCAATCGTGCCAAACAGTACCAAACAGTAAAGGTTTGTTGTATCGTTGCATTACGTCGCCAAACTCTTGTGAAATCAAATAGAATTTTTTTGGTACAACATATTTATTAAAGTTTTATATACACTCTGCTTATAAATGAAAGTTAATAAAATAAGAAAAAAGCATTTTAACTATTTCTGAAAACATTGCAATACATATCGTAATACAGTTCCAAATATCGTAATACGAAATTCCCAACCAATACCCAGCCCTATATTCAACTTGAAATCAACTGTAAGCATAAAAATCTCTGTAATTAACTGTTTACCTATTCATACCTGTAATTAAATGTTATCATAAACATACCTGTAATTTAATGTTAACATTTACATTCCTGTTATTAACTGTTAATGTTTACATAACTGTAATTAACTGTTAGCATACATATTCCTGTAATTAACTGTTAATGTATACAGACCTCTCACTACATGCAACTGTTAACAACTTGTACTCAACTGTTAATCTTTACATACCTGTAAGTAACTATTGCCAGCAGGGTCATCTAGGACAAAATGGTCACCTAGTCTCTCTCCGGATATAATCTGCAAGTAGTAATGAAACAATTAAATAAAGCTTATATGGGAATGAGTTAATTACCAGCATAGGGGCATGTGACAATTCACATAAGCTTAGAAACCTGTTACAAAGGAATGGCCCTGAACTCCTATGATGTTTTTATCCGCAAACACTAAAAAAGTTGATATTCAATCCATATACTGCATTTAAATTTCAATGATTTTTTATGTCCTCACGCTGTTTTTGGCCTTATAAAATCTAATTTAAATAATATTGTCCACATCTACTGAAGTCATGCTATCTCATTATGAGCAGATACCTCCAGATATATACTGGCATGGTTCTCCACTGACAAAACTCGGGCAAATATAAACATCAATTATAAAAGTTTATTTTTTACAACAGACTGTGTGGATTTTGTTTTGCTTTATAACCCTATGAATTTCAATCATAATTCTGATAAAATGACAAAGGAGGAGACACATAGTTAAACAAGGATAAACGTATGCTAAACACACAAGAAGAATCCCAATAATCAAACCAGGTTAAATGTGCTGCTACAGGCTAAAAACTTCACAATTATAGTGGCATTTGACAGGGCTGATTCTTAGTAAATGATAACCGCAGCGTAATTAGGATGAAAATACAATGTCATAAATACATGTTATTTCAGTTAAACACTGATAGAACATCCAATTCATCTCCAGAAAAATCAATATTTTGATATGAAATTCATGAGAATTGCAATTTGCTGTAATATGCCAGTTTAATAAATCTGTCATACCAAAAGATACTAAACAGAAGTTATTGTGGTTTTTTAATCCATGTCTATAAATTTTGTAACACATTGGAACTATTTTTTTATTCAGATTAAAAATTATTCAGGAAAAACTTAGGCATGCTAACTTTTATGTAAAACAGCCTGAAGTATTTTAAGACAGCACTAATGTTCTGAAGTAAGACCCAAATTGATCAAGTGTCTTTTCCAGAAACAATGCCTGCAGACTGGCTCTATTAACAATTCTTTTGGAATAAGGACTGGAAACTTGCAGCTGTGTTTTTTCTACATCTAGTGAAGAATTAAATCAGTCAGTTTTTATTTTCGACTTTTTTATTTTTGGACTTTAAAATATTGGCCACAAAAAAGCAGGATGGGGATATGCATAAAAAAAATCAATATGATTTGCCATTTTCCTTATTTCCTGTTTTCATCTTCATGCAAATCATTTGCTGGAAATCTTAACTACATGTAATACATTTTAGGTAATCAGACTTGTATCTTGACACCTTAGGGAAACAAGAGGCCCATGGGCCACATCGCTCAACTGAACACATTTGCTAGGAAAAAGCACATATCAGTTCAGTATTGAAAATTTTACGGGGAGGGGGGGGGGGGGGGGGGCTTGAATTTTAAACTATATGAGGATGCTTCCATATCAATATAAGGAATGGCTTTGCTGTTCTTAAGCAGAAAATTTTTAAAGATTTTTTTATTATATATTCCTTTGTAAAAATTTGATCCCCCATTGCAGCCCCTCCCTACCACCGGGGGGGGGGGGGGGGGGGGGGGTCATCATTTGAACAAATTTGAATCTACAATACCTGAGGATGCTTCCATATCAATTTGACTAAACATGGCTCTTCTGTTCTTGAGAAGATTTTTTCCTATATATTCCTTTGTAATTATTTAATCCCCCTTGTGGCCCCTCCCTAAGCCAGGGGGTCATCATTTGAACAAACTTGAATCTACACTACTTGAGGATGCTTCCATATCAATATGACTAAACAAAGCTGTGCTGTTCTTGAGAAGAAGATCTTTAAAGATTTTTTCCTATATATTCCTATATAAAACTTTGATCGCCTATTGGGGCTCCTACCTATCCCCAAGGGTCATCATTTGAATGAACTTGAATCTACACTACCTGAGAATGCTTCCATATCAATATGATTAATCATGGCTTTGTTGTTCTTGAGAAGAAGATTTTACAAGTTTTTGCCTATATATTCCTATGTAAAACTTTGATCCCCCATTGTGGCCCCACCCTATCCCCAGGGGTCATCATTTGAACAAAATTGAATCTACACTAACTGAGAATGTTTCCATATCAATATGACTAAACAAGGCTTTGCTGTTCTTGAGAAGAAGATCTTTAAAGATTTTTTTCCTATATATTCTATGTTAAACTTTGATCCCCCTTTGTGACTCCACCCTACCCCTGGGGGTCATGATTTGAACAAACTTAAATCTAAACTACCTGAGGATGCTTCCATATCAATATGATTAATCATGGCTTTGTTGTTCTTGAGAAGAAGATTTTACAAGTTTTTTGCCTATATATTTCAAAGTAAAACTTTGATCCCCCATTGTTACCCCACCCTACCCTCAGGGGTCATCATTTGAACAAATTTGAATCTACACTACGTAAAGATGCATTCCTAAAAGTTTCAACTTTTTTGGCCCAATGGTTCTTGAGAAGAAGATTTTTAAAACATGCCATCAAATTTTCACTATTTCTGAATTATCTCCCCTTGAACAAGGACGTGCCCCTTCATTTGAATAAACTTGAATCCCCTTCACCCAAGGATACTATGTGGCAAGTTTGGTTGAAATTGGCATAGTGGTTCTGGAGAAGAAGTCGAAAATGTGAAAAGTTTACAGACGGACAGACAGCTAGACAGACAGACTACAGACAAAATGTGATCAGAAAAGCTCACTTGAGCTTTCAGCTCAGGTGAGCTAAAAACTCACATGTGAATCTTACTTAAAAATTTTCCACATGAAACAAATCAAATTTCCTTTATCAAATAAAGTTAGCTCTTTAAAGATCACAAGCTCTTTGGTGCAAGGGTAACTATTAAATTTGATGATTTGTAACCAAATTTGCATTTTTTGCAATATAAATTTATTAAACCTCCAAATAAAACCAAAATTTACAAAGAATATTTATTTTTCTTAGTTTTTTAAACAAATATTTTGTGAAGAATACAATTTCACCAGAAAATTGTTTCATTTAACATTTACAGTGCCAATTCTCAAACATGTTTTTTTTTTTTTATTTTCTTATTAAAATATTTTTTTTTATTGTTAATAGCTATTGAATTAACAACTGCTGGTCTTTAAATCATAGTGAATAGAACAAGGAGCAATGTACATCATGGTTGCAAATAGTGTACAACATGATTGTCCTTTATGCCATAGGAGAGTGTGGCAAAATGTCGTTTACAATTTTTGTTCCTTTTCATCATTCCAAAGTTGATTAAAATTTTTTTTCAACAGTTTTAGAGAAGCTGAAAATGTTCAGAATTTCATAGACACAAGATAATGGACAAGATTACAATAAGTCATTTGAGTGACTTGAGGAACTATAAAAACAAAATTAAATTGATTTTCGTTGACTTGTGCATTATGCCAATGTTCTACAAGTACCAAATACATATTTAAAGAAAGACAACTCCTACCTTCTGTATTTCCTGGCAAAATATCTCGATTTTCTTGGCTCTCTGTTTATCAGAGCTATCTCCTGTAAAGAATGGATTGGACCCACTTAGCTGACCTTTTATATCCACCAGAAGTCCCTCCAAGGTCGTGAATTTTCCTCCCAGAGTCCCCATTTCAGCTGCGAAGTCCAGCTCCGGAATAGCCATGGAGGCCGTGTCACTCTACATTTATCAAATGTCAGTATTATTTCTATACCACTTAAACTTTTAAACAGAGAAGAGATATAAAAGATATTATTATATACTGGGTGCTAGCAATATGATTTATTTTTCATGGTTTGGGGAAAAAGTATTGGTTTGTTGGGATGATTGCAATATAAAGTTGTAATATATCAAAACTGAGGGATGGGGGGGGGGGTTAGAAATTCATGGGTCTCTTCATACCATGAAAACAAAAGTTAAACCTCCATTAAAATGATTGTGTACACTACATATAATATTTTTTAAGAGAAATGGGACTTTTCTACAATACTTTTTCGTACAGCATTTCCCACCTGGCTCAATAGACTCTATTCACGCACGCGCTGAAGTTCATTTCGACAACAAGGCTGACCTCATTCTACATATACACGTAATAACTTCACCAAGTATTATATGATTCCTCTCTACACTGTTGTTACAGTTTATGAGAATAAACTATTTTCATTGAAGAGGCAATTTTCCTTGGTTGAAAAAACATGCAAATTTTTCCAGCATTCCTGTGTACCAATATCAAAATATTCAGAATTCAAATATCCAGTACCTTTAAGACATCTCTGGACATGTCAGAAGGGTCCGTGATTTTTAACGTAATTCTGGTTCCCTTAGGTTCAATTCCTGATCCTCCCTTAACTTCGTTGTCTTTGTGACCACAAGCATCACATGTTGTAGCCATGATCACCACTTCTTTGAAATGTGGAATATCTTACACGTTAAGCAAAAGGTAATTGCTGACACCACTTGGATTATTATATTGCATATCATGATTAGCATATTTGTACCAAATGAATATTATTCTCATCTTGATTACAGAATTCATTTCCTTTGTTTCACTTAATAAAATAAAAGGATACCAACTAGTTTCATATTTGTGTCACATGGCACATTACATTCTGGGCAGTTAGTCCTGAAACTCGCCACCTAAAATCATCATTTTAACAAGAACCTCAGTCATACCATGGTTTGTTGACAATGATTTCAATTACTAGTATACACTGAACAACAAATAAAAATAACTCAAGTTTTCAAATTTCCTCAGTATGGAATTGTAATTGTTGCTAGAAAATTGCCAAAACCATTATCACATGCTTCAGATATTCTAAAAGGAATAACCTCAGTTTTGCCATCAAATATGTCTTCTTTCTTTGCTTCATCTTTGTTTTCTTCTAGTTCAGGTTCTTCCTCAGCTTTTTCTTGCTGAAAAGTTAATGATATTCAACTTTATTACATACCCAACTGTGCATCTCTCAATTTTAATGTTTACTTCACTCAATCACATGTCAGTATGATCCAACTTTCCAGATCAACACACTGTGGTTTTCTGAATCCGTATCAATCCTCTCTGAAACTGATGAGGCAGTGTACAGTATAAATGATGTTTTTTTGGCATATCAGAAAGTAACAAGATGTGTTTGTGAAACACTGTTGCCCATATGGCAGCTTACGGCGAAGGTTAAGCTTTCTCAAATGCAAGTCAAACTACAACTTCAAGGGCAAGAGATCAAAAATGTTGTTACCTAAAAAAAGGACTTGTATCAATGGACATACCTGCAAAATATGAAAGCCCTTGTACTAACTGTTCAAAAGTTATGGCCAAGGTTAAAGTTTTTTTTAAAAAGTGGGTCAAACTCTAAGGTCAAGGTCAAAAATGTTGTTATCTTAAGAAAGGACTTGTGCCAATGGATATATCTGCTAAATATGAAAGCCCAAGCACCAAGCATTCAAAAGTTATGGTCAAAGTTAATGTTTTCTAAAAGTAGTCAAACTCCAAGGTCAAGGTCAATTGGGTCAAAATTAACATGGTGAAAAACCTTGTCATAACATGGAGCAAGACCTTGTCATAACAAATACACACGCAAAATGTAAAAGCCCTATCACCAACTGTTCAAAAGTTATGGCCAAGGTTAAAGTAGGTCAAACTCCAAGGTCAAGGTCTAAAGGTCAAAAATATTTATACCAAAGGAAAGCACTTCTCACAAGGAAAACACAAGTGAACTATGAAATCCCTAGCACCAACTGTTCAAAAGTTAAGGCCAAGGTTAAAGTTTGGTAAAATTTTGCAAAAGCGGGTCAAACTCTTAGGTCAAGGTCAAGAGGTCAAACATTTTGGTACCCAAAAGAAAGGTCTTGTCACAAGAAATACACATGTGAAATATGAAAGCCATAGCTCCAACCAAAGAAAAGTTATCAAGAGTTTATGGGAAGCGGAGTTGACAGAAAACCCTTGGCTAGTGAAAATGAAAAGTTATGTGCAAGGTTCAAGTTTTGCAGACAAACAGACGGATGGATAGAGTAAAACCTATATGCCCCCGAATCTTCGATTACGGGGGCATAAAATTCACTAGAAACTTTGCTATTGCAAACAATATCACATGTCACTCCATAATGACTCCAATGGTGCAATATTTGAATTGAAAGCTGAGTAAGCAACTACTATTCTATTTTGCAGAAAATCAAAATTTTCATCAGTTTACCAATTTTTATTTCCATAACAACAGCAACCATCTTGGAAATTTTAAACCTCAGAATCTTGGAAAGAAACTAACATATTAATATTAAGCAGTCTGAAATACCTTTAGAGGAAAGTAATAAATTAAAAAGAAAAATTCCCCCCTTTTTTGTTTCCATGTCAACAATGAACAATTTTGTCCAACCACAACCAACTCCAATTTTTTTGCAGATATCAGTTTGACCTAATGCAAGAAGTACTCTTTTAATGTTTGAAAAGAATTGGCCAGGCAGTTACTAAACCAGAAAAAAAAATTTAAATCATTTTCCCAGTAACTGTCCAGACGATTTTTATCTTTTACAAGTATTTAAAATTTTCATTTTTCCTCTGTTTTCATGGCAATGATGTCCATTTTGAAAATTTTTAATGCAAAATGCACAACTAGATCTGATGATTATTATTTTTTTGAAGTTTCATTAAGATTGTCCAAGCCATCAGGGACAACACTCTCAGACAAAATTATACAGGAACAATAATAATATGTCACCCCAACTTCGTTCTGGGTGAAATAATTAAATGAATTAATATTACAGTTCCTTTCAGTTCACTTAATACCAAAGTTAAGCATATAAATCAATAGTGATAAAGTTTCAAAAATTTAAAACCTTGTTTGTTGTGGGAAAACTGAATTAAGTACATTAAAATTCAGTGTGGCAATGTTGTCAGCTCTGGCCATAGTTAGAGTCAAGAAATCAAACCAATGTTTGAGAGCATGATAACAATACTATTTACAGAATAAATTCTGAATACTGTAAACCAACTTTTATTTGCGTGCGAGAAATTTTCGCAAGGTTTGCGAGAGCCTCGTCATCGCGAATATTTCTCGCCGCGAACCGGTCCTTAAAGTCTCTCTTTCTATTAAAAACAGATCAAAAAAAGAATTGATCGCGAAAATTAATCGTCGCGAACTAGTTTACCCTCGGTAAATCGCGAAATAAAGTCGTCGCGAATAAAAGTTGGTCAACAGTAGGTTTAACTTGAGAAACCTATTTCTTTGCCTATATGAACCCTCTATCTTTTTTAGTAAATACACGGCCACAGTTTAAACAATTTGGGTAAAAATATATTTACATATTCATTATGTACAATTCATTATCTGTACATGAATAATTTTTTTTTTTTTTTTTTTACATTGACTGCTGTCACCCTTACCTCCAGTAAGCCCAGCTGTTCATCCTGTTTCCGAGACCTGACATAGTGGTGAATGGTCATGTCCTTGTCTTTGTTAGGAGCATATGTAAACCATGTTAAGGGATACAAACTTTTTGCATTAAAAATGCTCCAAAAATCAAGATAAAATTAAACTTTAAATGAATGCATATTTTTTGTAGGCCTACTTGATTGTCCTCATATGTCACATCATATAGAAAGGATATGGATTCTCAATGAAGCTGTTTCCACTGGGGTCATCTAAAATCTGAAATAAATTTACACATAGCAACATTACCATAAAGTCATTTTTTTTAAATTACCAAACAGGTTTCTTTTCTAGTATATCAATACATTTTACATGATTTTATGTATTACAACAACAGTTGTCTTCTATTCCTTACTAATACCCAGTGATGATATGACCTTAGATATGATCTTTAGTCAAGGTCATGACATACCTATAGGTCATAAATAACAACATAATGATATTCAACTTGGAATTCATTTAATCAAGGCTTTCAAAAGTATAACCCTGTCAGACACATTTCATTATCTCATTTCTTAGTGTCCTTGACCTTTACGATATCATCTCAAACCAAAACCATGATACACTATTGGGTTATCAATAATAACATACATTTATTCTGAAATGTTGTTTTATTTGTAAAATTTGCCTTATATAATTACTGAATGAAATAAACGTGTGTCTGTTAAGATGTTTGAACCAAAAAACGTAGCATGCTCGACCAAAATCAAAAGTAGGAATCGAAAATTATATAGTCATTAAATCAAGGTAAAATTGCCTGAAATCGCTAAAAATGGTTGTGAAAATCACGGTCGCTGGTCATGTCAGGTGGTCATTTAATACAGGTATAATATATAGAAAAAAGCATTAGGAGGAATTTTTACGGTCACATATGACAGTGAGTCACTTAATGCAGTGGGTCGCTATAGCAGTTTTAACTGTACATAAGTCTTGATACATTCTGATTCATAGCCTTAGACACCATTTTATCATCTCATTATGCAGTAACCTTTACCTGAGAGATTTGACTTTGAGTTAAAAAAAAAAAAAGGCCTTACCTTCAGGAAATAATAACAACATACTCATGTTTCAATACAATCCATTCAATGGTTCCAAAGTTTTGACAAATACACCATTTCACAATTTTGTTGCCCAATGACCTTGAACTTTAAGATATGGCCTTGAGTTAACACCATAACACAACATACTCAAGCTTGAAACTATCCTAATCAAGGGTTAGAAATTTAGAGCTTGGAAATGAATTAGCAATAGACAAAAGAAATCCGAAACTAATATGCTCATCTGATTGGGTAAAAATCAATTTATTTTAACCCTAATGCTGAAGTATTTTGTAAATTATACTGTGGATAAAATTCAATGGGTTCAATAAATTGATTGCAGGAAGTTATTCATCTGAAATTGATATTTATGCCTTAAACTCAGAGTCAGTAATATTGTTTTTGGTCTGAATATTTAACTGTTTAAACATCAACAACTGTCCTCTGGGCCATAACTTACAAATCATTGAGATCATCGATGTCATGTCTGGTCAGATTGAGGAGATCAATGTCACACAGTAGGTCAATGACTAAACACAATCTTAAAAAGTCTTCAGTCTACATGCAGTAATGTTTCTCCATTCCTTTTGTACATTTTTGATTTTAAAAAAGATAGAAAGATGCATTTCTTTTTCTGTTGAGTTCCTTTACCTCATAATGTAACATAATTTCCTCTTAGACAACTGCTATTGGTATAAGCTTCTCTAAAAATTTTCAAGAATTTGCAAAATGATAACAAATTAAAGTTCTTATGAATGTTTTTAACGTAGGTCGTGGGTTTGCTGACGTCGTTAAAACTGGGTATGCAATTTATATGATTTGAGCGACTTTCTTGTGCACATTTGATTATGACGTCAAAATAAGTAAGAAATTTTTAACTCTTCAATACAAACAAACTGAAGTTATCACAGATAGAAAAACTTTTTACAATTTAAATGTTGGAAAATCGAAAGCGTACGTTAGAAAGCGTTTATTTATCATCACATTGAGACCACAACAGTGTCACGAAAAGATATGGAACAACTAAACAAGTGTTAACTGTATGATTATTTTTTTCCTTTGACGTATTTTAATAAAAAAAAAGTTTGTTATGCTGGTAAACTGTCATGATATAATCAACCGCAATTACAGCTGTTACATCAAAAGTTTAAACTTTATTTTTAAAAAGGAAATTTTTGAAATACATGTATATTTATATCACAATTGAAAAATGCTCAGGTGCTATGAAGCATAAAGTAAAAAAACGACAACAGACCTTCAATAAGTAACGCCTTACAATACTGTTCATGCGCAGATCTAGAGGGGGGGATTGGGGGGGCAGACCCCCCTGGAATTTGCAAAGGCATTTAAAGTATATACTGAAGCAAATAAATAATAACTTTGGAATTGAACAAAGTAAAAGTATTGCGTCGAAGAAATGAAAGGTCCAAAATTACAATGTCTCGGAGCTAGCATTTCGCCTGACTTAATTAAAAGATCACTGCCAGACTTATGAGGAATTCATGCTAAAGAAGAAAGGGATATTAGTTCGGTAGGAATCGAAGGATGGGCATGTCCCCATAATTTTTTCAATGTATATGAATTACTTTAGAAATCAAGCTAATTTACAGTTGTTGATCCCCTCAATAATTTTGCCAGTACATGAAAATATAAATTAGAAAACAGAACTAATTTGCGGTTGTGCCTGCCCTCTCAAGATTGTCTGCTTCAGGCCCGTAAAACGCAGTGGGGGGGGGGGGCACTTTGTGTTCCTGTAAGGTCGACCACTGGCACATCCAGGATTCGGACAGCTAATTAGGTTTGTTTGTTTGTGGTCTTTTTTGAGCTAGCCCCCCCCCCCCCCCAAATAAAAAGAAAAAAAATTGAAACCGTCTCTACGGGCCTAAGCTTGTTTATATCTGTTGGGTTCTCCCCCCCCCCCCCCCCCCAACTAAAACTTGCATTCTTTGTTCCTGTGTATCTTAGTATCTTAAAAGAAAGCTCATCAAAGGCTAAAAATTCTTTAGAATATTTTGACACCATGTTTTGCAAATACTTTGACAATATCGAACGGCGTAGAGAATGAAAAATCGGATGTTCAAAAAATGTACAAAGTTCGGTGAAAAATTGTGAAATTTTCAGACAGAGAAGTTCTTGGTATTTTTTTTAATATACCAACAGAATGGGATTAATTTCGAAAAAACACTGACGACATGTGGTGATACGACAGCGACATCACGTTAAACATGTCCTGTTATAGGAGCAGTCGTATGCTGCGTGTGTACTCAAGTATAACCAATGTAAAAATTCCGCATACAAAGAAGGGTTTTGTATAGCTTTTTTAAAGAATAAGAAATATAATCCATCCATTTTAAATACAAAAAATCCACTCATATAGGAACTAGCTCCGAGTGTGTAAAAAAACGTTTTTTATCTGATTAAATTCTCTAATTAATATTCACTCCCCAAATCTTGTAAGAAAAAAGGTCTTTGAATTACGCTAGGAGTACTGTACCTGCAAGCCAAGCCTTCTCTCTTTCTCGCTCTCTCTCTCTCTCTCTTTAGTTACGGCTTATAAACAATTAATTGAAACCCATAAAGTGTTTCAGACAAGATACACTGTTACCTAACTAATGTATATAAACATAAATTTCTTTCTTATTTTTTTATCATATTATTTTGTTTTCTGCATTTTATACCGGACCGCATTCACGACGTCAAGCGTGACGTCACGATAGTTTATAGCGTCGTTCTTAAAAATGTTAAAAGCAATAATTGCATTTAAATTACGAGAAAACTAACTCGAAGACATATTAATTTTTTTACATAGATTTATAGGAAATCATCTCTGTGTGAAATGACCAAAAGGGGAACAATTTCGTCTGCACCATTTAGAAATTACTGAGATTTTTTTAGACGAAATCTTGCCTAAAAATGAGTCAAAAATGACGTTTTCCCTATAGAATTCAATAGAATGGTGTGAAAATGTTATGACAACGATGGCTTGTTTGGGATTTAATAACACAAAAACGATGCAGACGAATTTTATAAAATTTTCAGAGAATGTACAACAAAAGTAGGGGATCCATATAACAAATTTTCATAATATGTTTTCGAGCAATTTTAAAAGGTCACTAACCCCGCGACCTACGTTAAATAGAAGGTAGAATTTTATTGTAAGTATAGCCTCTGGAACACAGATTATTTTAATTTTTGACAAACTTACAATCTGAAATGGTTCCTTTACTTCTTTTAGCTCCTTTAGTTTTTCTATGAAGACATCAATTTTTTCTGCCACTTCTGGATGTTGAATCTAAGAAAAAAAAAAATAAGCATCACATTATCTGCAGACAAAGGAAGGCAACATTCTAGCAGAACTGTAAAGCATGTTTTTCTTTTATCTACTTTTAGATTAATAATTGTATATTAATAATACTCTCTAAACGTACAAAATAACGATTGGCATGTACTTCTAATGAGTGGTAGAACACGTTAATGTTATATTTTTTTCTATTTTCACCAGAGCCATGGCTCAAGTGAGCTTTTCTGATCAGATAGTGTACTGTATGTGTACTTTAATAAGCGGGCTTCATATTTTAGCGGCTTTGGCGCAGAAAACGATGTGCTAATTCATGAATACCACTAAGAAATCATTTATAAATACAATATATGGCACGGACATGTACAACGCTAATTCATGATTTCGCCAACAACTCCATACCCAGTAATTGCGCTAAATTTTGAATACGCCAATATAAGTACACGTACAGTATGTATGGCATCCATCTGGATGTTTGTCTGTCTTTAAACTTTTCATATTTTCAACATTTCCTCCAGAACCACAGGGCAAATTCCAACCAATTTGCCAAAAAGCATCATGGAGTGCAGGAGATTCAAGTTTGTTCAAATGAAGAGCATGCCAATTTTCCTGAGAGATGATTAAGAAAAGGTGAAAATTTGATAGAGTCTTTAAAAATTTTCCTAGAGAATCACTGGGTCAGAAGAGACAAAACTTCATAAAAACCTTTCCTTTCTTACAAAGTGCAGATTTAAGTTTGTTCAAAATCTGTTGTATTTAATGCTCTCTTCAGTACTCACTTTACGAACAGGTTGATCCTGAGAAAGGCCCTCCACAGCTCGGTCTATTACACCTTCAACAGTTGTTAGTACTGAAACCATCACAATAAATAGATTAAAAATAGATAAAACTCAGCAATATCCAAACATCCATAGAACATGTGGATTTCATTTGAGAATATCTGTTTCCAATCTATTTGATAAATCATATTTATAAATTTGCCACACATAAAAGGGATACAAATTAACAAGTCCTTAATAGAAGTTGGGTTACAGAGGAGTACACTGTAGTTATCCCAATGGTCATATTCCATTGACAACAAACTTACCTCCTTTGTTTGGTGGAGACTCAAATTCCAACTTTGGAATGGATATAGTTGCATGATTTGTCTGCACTACTTGTCGGTTTAGATCCTTAAAGATACAAAGTAATGTATAAGTATGTCATTTAGATTTTTTCTTTATTTTAACAGAGACGTAAATTGATAAAGAATACATACTGATCCCTAAACCGTAGACAAAACATTTTACTCTCTCTTCATAACGCTCTGGTAAAGACACTGTTGATTAGTTGCACAGACTTGTGATATAAGATATAATGGTGATATTGTTTGTTGTACAGACAGACTTGTGATATGGGATGTAATGGTGATATTGTTTGTTGTACAGACAGACTTGTGATATGGGATGTAATGGTGATATTGTTTGTTGTACAGACAGACTTGTGATATGGGATGTAATGATGATATTGTTTGTTGTGCAGACAGACTTGTGATATGGGATGTAATGATGATTTTGTTTGTTGTGCAGACAGACTTGTGATATAGGATGTAATGCTGATATTGTTTGTTGTACAGACAGACTTGTGATACAAGATATAATGGTGATATTGTTTGTTGTGCAGACAGACTTGTGATATAAGATATAACGGTGATATTGTTTGTTGTACAGACAGACTTGTGATATAGGATGTAATGCTGATATTGTTTGTTGTACAGACAGACTTGTGATATAGGATGTAATGCTGATATTGTTTGTTGTACAGACAGACTTGTGATATAGGATGTAATGATGATATTGTTTGTTGTGCAGACAGACTTGTGATATAAGATATAACGGTGATATTGTTTGTTGTACAGACAGACTTGTGATATAGGATGTAATGGTGATATTGTTTGTTGTACAGACAGACTTGTGATATAGGATGTAATGCTGATATTGTTTGTTGTGCAGACAGATTTGTGATACAAGATATAATGGTGATATTGTTTGTTGTGCAGACAGATTTGTGATATAAGATATAACGGTGATATTGTTTGTTGTACAGACAGACTTGTGATATAGGATATAACGGTGATATTGTTTGTTGTGCAGACAGACTTGTGATATAAGATATAACGGTGATATTGTTTGTTGTGCAGACAGACTTGTGATATAAGATATAACGGTGATATTGCTTGTTGTGCAGACAGACTTGTGATATAAGATATAACGGTGATGTTGTTTGTTGTGCAGACAGATTTGTGATATAAGATATAACGGTGATATTGTTTGTTGTGCAGACAGACTTGTGACATAGGATGTAATGGTGATATTGTTTGTTGTACAGACAGACTTGTGATATGGGATGTAATGATGATATTGTTTGTTGTGCAGACAGACTTGTGATATGGGATGTAATGATGATTTTGTTTGTTGTACAGACAGACTTGTGATATGGGATGTAATGGTGATATTGTTTGTTGTACAGACAGACTTGTGATATGGGATGTAATGATGATTTTGTTTGTTGTGCAGACAGACTTGTGATATAGGATGTAATGGTGATATTGTTTGTTGTACAGACAGACTTGTGATACAAGATATAATGGTGATATTGTTTGTTGTGCAGACAGATTTGTGATATAAGATATAACGGTGATATTGTTTGTTGTGCAGACAGACTTGTGATATAGGATGTAATGGTGATATTGTTTGTTGTACAGACAGACTTGTGATACAAGATATAACGGTGATATTGTTTGTTGTGCAGACAGACTTGTGACATAAGATATAACGGTGATATTGCTTGTTGTGCAGACAGACTTGTGATATAAGATATAACGGTGATATTGTTTGTTGTGCAGACAGATTTGTGATATAGGATGTAATGCTGATATTGTTTGTTGTGCAGACAGATTTGTGATATAAGATATAATGGTGATATTGTTTGTTGTACAGACAGACTTGTGATATAGGATGTAATGGTGATATTGTTTGTTGTGCAGACAGACTTGTGATATGGGATGTAATGGTGATATTGTTTGTTGTGCAGAAAGATTTGTGATATAGGATGTAATGCTGATATTGTTTGTTGTGCAGACAGATTTGTGATATGGGATGTAATGGTGATATTGTTTGTTGTGCAGACAGATTTGTGATATAGGATGTAATGCTGATATTGTTTGTTGTGCAGACAGATTTGTGATATAAGATATAATGGTGATATTGTTTGTTGTACAGACAGACTTGTGATATAGGATGTAATGGTGATATTGTTTGTTGTGCAGACAGACTTGTGATATGGGATGTAATGGTGATATTGTTTGTTGTGCAGAAAGATTTGTGATATAGGATGTAATGCTGATATTGTTTGTTGTGCAGACAGATTTGTGATATAAGATATAACGGTGATATTGTTTGTTGTACAGACAGACTTGTGATATGGGATGTAATGGTGATATTGTTTGTTGTGCAGACAGACTTGTGATATAGGATGTAATGGTGATATTGTTTATTGTGCAGACAGACTTGTGATATAGGATGTAATGGTGATATTGTTTTTTGTACAGACACACTTGTGATATGGGATGTAATGGTAATATTGTTTGTTGTGCAGACACACTTGTGATATGGGATGTAATGATGATATTGTTTGTTGTACAGACAGACTTATGATACAAGATATAATGGTGATATTGTTTGTTGTGCAGACAGACTTGTGACATAGGATGTAATGGTGATATTGTTTGTTGTACAGACAGACTTGTGATATGGGATGTAATGATGATATTGTTTGTTGTACAGACAGACTTGTGATATGGGATGTAATGATGATTTTGTTTGTTGTGCAGACAGACTTGTGATATAGGATGTAATGGTGATATTGTTTGTTGTACAGACAGACTTGTGATACAAGATATAATGGTGATATTGTTTGTTGTGCAGACAGATTTGTGATATAAGATATAACGGTGATATTGTTTGTTGTGCAGACAGACTTGTGATATAGGATATAACGGTGATATTGTTTGTTGTGCAGACAGACTTGTGATATAAGATATAACGGTGATATTGTTTGTTGTGCAGACAGACTTGTGACATAAGATATAACGGTGATATTGCTTGTTGTGCAGACAGACTTGTGATATAAGATATAACGGTGATATTGTTTGTTGTGCAGACAGATTTGTGATATAAGATATAACGGTGATATTGTTTGTTGTGCAGACAGACTTGTGATATAAGATATAATGGTGATATTGTTTGTTGTACAGACAGACTTGTGATATGGGATGTAATGGTGATATTGTTTGTTGTACAGACAGACTTGTGATATGGGATGTAATGGTGATATTGTTTGTTGTACAGACAGACTTGTGATATGGGATGTAATGATGATATTGTTTGTTGTGCAGACAGACTTGTGATATGGGATGTAATGATGATTTTGTTTGTTGTGCAGACAGACTTGTGATATAGGATGTAATGGTGATATTGTTTGTTGTACAGACAGACTTGTGATATAGGATGTAATGCTGATATTGTTTGTTGTGCAGACAGATTTGTGATACAAGATATAATGGTGATATTGTTTGTTGTGCAGACAGATTTGTGATATAAGATATAACGGTGATATTGTTTGTTGTACAGACAGACTTGTGATATAGGATATAACGGTGATATTGTTTGTTGTGCAGACAGACTTGTGATATAAGATATAACGGTGATATTGTTTGTTGTGCAGACAGACTTGTGATATAAGATATAACGGTGATATTGCTTGTTGTGCAGACAGACTTGTGATATAAGATATAACGGTGATGTTGTTTGTTGTGCAGACAGATTTGTGATATAAGATGTAACGGTGATATTGTTTGTTGTGCAGACAGACTTGTGACATAGGATGTAATGGTGATATTGTTTGTTGTACAGACAGACTTGTGATATGGGATGTAATGATGATATTGTTTGTTGTGCAGACAGACTTGTGATATAGGATGTAATGATGATTTTGTTTGTTGTGCAGACAGACTTGTGATATAGGATGTAATGGTGATATTGTTTGTTGTACAGACAGACTTGTGATACAAGATATAATGGTGATATTGTTTGTTGTGCAGACAGATTTGTGATATAAGATATAACGGTGATATTGTTTGTTGTGCAGACAGACTTGTGATATAGGATATAACGGTGATATTGTTTGTTGTGCAGACAGACTTGTGATATAAGATATAACGGTGATATTGTTTGTTGTGCAGACAGACTTGTGACATAAGATATAACGGTGATATTGCTTGTTGTGCAGACAGACTTGTGATATAAGATATAACGGTGATATTGTTTGTTGTGCAGACAGATTTGTGATATAGGATGTAATGCTGATATTGTTTGTTGTGCAGACAGATTTGTGATATAAGATATAATGGTGATATTGTTTGTTGTACAGACAGACTTGTGATATAGGATGTAATGGTGATATTGTTTGTTGTGCAGACAGACTTGTGATATGGGATGTAATGGTGATATTGTTTGTTGTGCAGAAAGATTTGTGATATAGGATGTAATGCTGATATTGTTTGTTGTGCAGACAGATTTGTGATATGGGATGTAATGGTGATATTGTTTGTTGTGCAGACAGATTTGTGATATAGGATGTAATGCTGATATTGTTTGTTGTGCAGACAGATTTGTGATATAAGATATAATGGTGATATTGTTTGTTGTACAGACAGACTTGTGATATAGGATGTAATGGTGATATTGTTTGTTGTGCAGACAGACTTGTGATATGGGATGTAATGGTGATATTGTTTGTTGTGCAGAAAGATTTGTGATATAGGATGTAATGCTGATATTGTTTGTTGTGCAGACAGATTTGTGATATAAGATATAACGGTGATATTGTTTGTTGTACAGACAGACTTGTGATATAGGATGTAATGGTGATATTGTTTATTGTGCAGACAGACTTGTGATATAGGATGTAATGGTGATATTGTTTTTTGTACAGACACACTTGTGATATGGGATGTAATGATGATATTGTTTGTTGTGCAGACAGACTTGTGATATGGGATGTAATGATGATTTTGTTTGTTGTGCAGACAGACTTGTGATATAGGATGTAATGGTGATATTGTTTGTTGTAC